ATTGCCAGCTGCCATGTACAGATTGGAAGTGTGGCCACTGACAAAGGAACTGTGCGATGCTGCCAATCACGAATTAAAGTATTGCATGCTGGGATCGCGGATTACAACTTAACTCCCCTCCGCTATCAATGTGTTTCTACGACATTGGCAGATTTAGACTGCAAATCTAAAGCCATTTAGACATCCTGTTATTCACAATTAATCACAGATCATGATGTTGCACGTTGCTTCTCACTGGACATCTTGAGGGCCACAGCAGCGGCGGCGGCATCCTTCTGCTGAGCCGTGCCAATCACCATTTTCCTCTGGCTTCCCCCATTGGCCACTTGGGCGAGAACAATCTTCGTGTTTGAGTTTGTGAGCTCAGGATCAGCACGATTGCAAAGTATTCCCTTTCCTTGATCCCCAAGACGTGTTTGGCCTCCTTGCGTTGTAGTTTCATAAATGTAATACAAAAAAATCAACTGGTCGCCATGGAAACGGCGAGAAACTATACCGCTACCGCTGCTGATTGAGGCAATTGAAGCTATTGAGATGTATCGCATCGTGTGCAGTTCGTACGTTTTATTCAGTAAAAAAAACCCGTAAACTCTTCTATAGTTAAATTATTTTGACAAAAGGTCATCGTTTGGCTTTTATTTTTATTTCCCCCACGAACAGAAGGCTCCAATATCTTTGATATGGCCATGCAGTATTTGGATTCCTGAACCACGATTTAGTACTAGTAGACACTTTATTTGGCATTTTTGTGCCCAATATGGCTCTTTCTGTCATTCTTTGTTTTTTTCGGTAAAGTCACATAGAAATAAGAAAAAAAATTACATAATAGCATACGACGTTTCGATTGCAACACAAGCAATCATAATCAAGTAGAGGAAACACATAACCGCAGATATATATAGAGACCCTAAGTAGAGGGAATTAACACAGATACACCAGGGGATACAGAGAGAGACGGAGGAGCACACTCTACTTAGGGTCTGTATATATATCTGCGGTTATGTGTTTCCTCTACCTGATGATGATTGCTTGTGTTGCAATCGAAACGTCGTATGCAATTATGTAATTTTAATGTTTTTCTTATTTCTACGTGACTTTACCGAAAAAAACAAAGAGTAATTCCTGCAGTCACGAAAGCGCCAAATCGAGTCTTTCTGTCATTGTTCAGAGCACAAGCGTGTACGCATTTAAAACGAGTGTTCTACCATGGTAACTAGGCTGTTTAAACCACCTAGAACATACATAACAAAAAAAACCTAACCATCATTCTCTGAATACTGAGACAATTTGTGTTCTAATGTTGTTTGAACCTCGGATCAAGCACTGCCAACCGCACCAACACCTCTCGTAACGCGTGTCCACGCAACGTACAGTCGCAACTTTATTGGACGTTTCTACTCGGAGAATATTCTTTGTGGTGCTGTCACAGGATGGGACACCTAGAAAAACGATTTAAAAACGATAAACTATTTATATTTTACCAGGTTAGGCCCACTGAGCTCTCTTTCAGAAGCGACCTGGCTATCACAAATGATAGCTCAACAAAGTGGCTGATTTGGTGGAAATGTATAGCAGCCAAATACTCTAAATTCTTGTGTATAAATCCACGCGACTACGAGGAAATAGACATGCAAACTCTAAACATACAAGCGTCGGGATCGAACCCATGACCTCGTGGACACCAGACGAGGTAGTTAACATCTCGCCACCGTGGCAGCCACCGGTATGACCAGGCCGTATGTGCCTCTTCGGAACATCGATGGGGCGTACCACGTGACAGCCCCGCAGTGTGAATGCCAGGAGATCGTGGCTCACCATCGCCTGCAGCTGTGAAGTGCGTCAGGGCGTGCCGGGCGAACTGGTTGTTGCCCTGCACGTGCTGGAGTAGAAGACTGTCGCATGGCTCTGTGTTGCTACGTGGGATGATGTCCACTCACAGAACATTGACAAACATATGTATTCATTTAATTATTTATTTTTCACGTGTATCTGGTGCTCTAACTATGTAAAAGTCACGTGTAAAAGCATAAATACAAAAAAACTGGCTCAGCTGCCGCCATATAAATGAGATGTAGAAGCCAGATGGAGAGGGGGGCAGAACGCACTTTGCAAACACGTGTTCGGTGAGCTAGTTAGCATTTACATCTCTCTCTCCCAACTTGTTAATTTAGCCCATCACCTTGCGACGGGTAGACGAGGCCTGCTGTGTTGGGTACAGGTGTCCGGTTTATACAATTAGCCTCTGCTACAGCTGTGACCCAGGCTATTACGCCGGCAAATGAAGACGTGCGCTCAGACTCGACGCCACAGGCCGTGACCGTTCCCCTTGCACCGTGCGGACAGCAGTCATTGCCACGCCTACGTCGTTTGGTGTCGTTGAGACTTCACCACTCTTCTGCAGAACTGGCCTAGAGGCGAGCGCACTCCGAGTCTATAGCTTGACACAGAATGAAGATATTGTGAACAATTAAAAATAAAATCCACATTTATCTTCAGGGCCAAACAACGCGCCAGCTAGGCCCAGAGACAATGATCCTCCTACTGAACATCGAGGGAAGTCCTCTGGCTTGACCACCTGAATGCGAAATTGTAGTTGTTTCTCCGCATCTATTAACTATGTTTCATCTTACCAGGGAAGGCCTTCTGAGCTGTATAGCTATTTTTCAGAAGCAATCTGGCCCGCAAATGATAGCTCAACGAAATGGCATATCATGTGGAATTTTAATGCAGCCAAGTACTCGAAACGCTTGTTTCTGAATGTCGAGGGAAACACCGGAGGACCCGGGGGAAAATGCACACGACCACGGGGAGAACGTGCAAACTCTAAATATACAGGCGTCAGGGTCGGGGTCGGGGTTAAACCGTCGACCTCCTGTATACAAGCCGAGGGAGAATAACTTCTCGCCACCGTGGCGCTACATCAACCTTGCGAAAGAAGACGTCATAATCTAAATCCCAGTTGATTGTGTCTGTCATGCAATTACTTAACTACCCTCTCTGCGATTACATTCACTTGCAAATTCCATCCCTAGCCCCGCCCACTCATCCTTGGGTTGTACCCACCACAAACGTTTATAACTTTTGGTTGCAGTAGCTCTCTCGCTACATTGCCTCCTCAGCAGTCCGCCTGCTGTATTGTTTCACCTGAAGACGGTGGCTTGTGTTGCTATCGAAACGTCGTGATTTATTAGTTATTTTTTCTATCTACGTGACTTTACCGAAAGAACCAAAGAGTATGAATTCCTGCAGTCACGAAAGCTTCAAATCAAGATGAATAACTTAACAGTTTATTTGATGCGCATTATCGCGACTTGATATCATCGAGCGCACTCGAGACTGGGGACAGTGAGCATTTTCTGAGCGAGAGTCATTGCGCCGATCATCTGCTCATCTGGCCCCAGTGCCCATGTCCCGTTTCGTTCAAAGCTCGACGTGGACAATCGTCAACGACGTCGGCATCGGAAGACTTCCCGCTGCGACGACGGAGCACGGTCTCCCCCCCACCCACCCCCCGGTGTTTACAGAGCCGGCTTTAACACGGAAGGGGGCAGGAGGGTGGCTCGATGTGCGCCGTGTCGTCAAATCTGACGTGTGCTGCTTGGTGCGCGTTCGCAAGTCGCTCCGCGTCGCGCTCCGGCGCTCCACAGAGTGCGTCCGAGTGCACGCGCGCGCGTGCGTGCGCCCCACTCCGCGTGTCCTGCATAGTGGATGGGGGGTAGGCAAGGGTCGCCGTCTCGATTGTGTTGCGGCTGAGCTCGGTGGTGGTGGCTGCAGTGTAAACAGCCGTCAGTCAGTTACTCGTTCGCGGTGACGGTCTTTTACAAAGGGCGCAAACAATGGCGGCGGGTTGAACAAATGACCCTGGGACGTTCATTGAAAGAGCACGTTTTGCCATTTGTTTAAGCACAACTTCGTCGTGCCTCGGAGTCCATCCCGTGGCTCTTGTGGTGCAACATGAATGTCTCCACTGCAGAGGATGTATACTGTGTATATACTGTACTACAAAGTATAAGAATAGGTTTTCCCTTTTATTCTGGCAACAAAACAGGCGTTAAGATGACAACACACCAAACTGAAACCTTTTACAGGAAATCATGTCTGCATTAACCACAATACTTGTGGTCAGAATGTAAACAAAAAACTCTGATAATATATGCATTTGCATCATGGGACCTCCTTTGCCAGTACCAAAATAGGTCTAACACCGTTTGAGACAAGGCTCAAAAGAAAGCTGTCTCTGGTGTGGACCAATCAGTTTCAAAGACAATGCATATATTATCAGAGTTTGTTTTTTGTTTGCATTCTGATAACAAGCATTGTGGTTAATGCAGACATGATTCCTTGTAAAATGTTTCAGTTTGGTGTTTTAACATCTTAACGCCTGTTTTGTTGCCAGAAAAAAAGGGGAAAAACCCTATTATCAATATATGCATTGTCTTTGAAACTGATTGGTCCACACCAGAGACAGCTTTCTTTGGAGCCTCGTCTCAAACGGTGTTAGACCAGAGGAAGCCAAAAGCTGTCTGCGTTGGTCACCAGTAAATGTTACATGATGCACATGAAGAGGCTGCGTTCCCACGATCGTGTTGGCAGCTGGGCTCTGGCTTGTGAGACAGCCTGGCCGCTGTAACATCGAATGACGGCGGCCTTCATTCAGATTCTTATTTCGTATGGCTGATGTTGATGCAGAGCAACAGCTACATGCAGCTGCACCTAAGAGGCCTCGTCGCCTGCACACCGGTCCAGACCTATTCTTGTTGAACCAATGCTGCCGACATCATGGGCTCCCATAAGGATCGTGCGGCTGATGGGATGTGCGCACAATACCCGATGCGTGTACGGGGAGGGGAGCTCTGGGGGGGGAGGCGAGTTGTGGTTTGTATTCGGAGTTTAACTGGGTCGAACCCCCGCCGTACCCAGCCACCTCCCAGGAGGGATTCGCAAGGCGCGTAATTCGTCAAACAATGCCGATGTTTAAATTAACGCCACTCGATTTGCCATTCACTGTTTGCACTCTTTAATAGCACTCTCACAAAAATGGCACGTACAACAGATCTTTCGTTAAAAAATGAATGTAGAGCCCAATTCCACACAAAAAAAATCAAAATAGTTGCTTTATTAAAATGCACACTTAAAAGCTATGGATGAAGGGGCCATGCGAATGGCTCATCAGCTTTTTGCGCATCCTGGCGACGTCTGTAGGCGCTGACAGCTCATCACGCAGAGTGGCGCTCCGGCGAGCGACGGCTTGAGTGGTTAATGGAGCCCCGTGCGCTGCCTGTCCTCGCTGATCGTCCTAGCGGAGGGGGGGGGGTGGCAGGGAGAGGGTGTGGGGGGGCAGTAGAGATGGGGGTGGCCGGGGCTGAACAGCGGTGAGTAGAGACGCTCCAGGACATCCCATGTGGTGGCTCGGGGCGTATTCTGGATCCCACCGGGGGGAGATCCTCTGGCCGGCTCGATGAGTGCGAGTCCTCACCGTGACGTCATCCACCCCGCGTGTATTTCGCTTTACACAGTTTCTGTTTCTGAGCGCAAGCACAGGCCCAGTGGCCCGTGACTGTCGAGCGGCCAGCAACAAACAGCACTAACAGCGTTGTAGTGCGAGGGAAAAAGCAGCAGTGTTGCGAGTGGGTGAATGAGTGAGTGGATGGATGAGTGAGTGGGTGAGATGAGTAGGTGGGTGAGTGGGTGGGTGCTTGAGTGGGTGGGTTGGTGAGTGGGTTGGTGGGTGAGTGGGTGAGAAAGTGGGTGGATGTATTGTTGTGACCTGGATGTGTGAGTGAGCTGGTGGCTGTCCGCCTGATGATGGTAGTTGTAATTACTGGCGAAACGTCGTACTCAAATTGTAAATGTGGATTTGCACTCCAACACACCGGTGTGCTGTACAAGTAACGAATTGGCATGTTCTGTTTACGTGATAAACCTTACTAATTGGCTGTGTCTGGTGGTGGCGGGTTAACGACACATCTGTATTTACGCGATGTAACCTAAAACGATTATATTATGAATATTGGTCGCGAAGGCCTTCGTATTAAACTGGATTGGTGGCTGAATGCGTGGGTGGGTGAGTAGGTGAGTGGGTGGGTGGGTTAGTGAGTGGGTGAGTGGGTGTGTTAGTGAGTGGGTGAGTGGCTGAATGCGTGGGTGGGTGAGTGGATGGGTGAGTGAGTGAGTGGGTTAGTGAGTGGGTGGGTGGGTTAGTGAGTGGGTGAGTGGGTGGGTGAGTGGTGAGTGGCTGGGTTAGTGAGTGGGTGAGTGGGTGGGTGGGTGAGTGAGTGAGTGGGTGGGTGGATTAGTGAGTGGGTGAGTGGGTTGGTTAGTGAGTGGGTGAGTGGGTGGGTTAGTGAGTGGGTGAGTGGGTGGATTAGTGAGTGGATGAGTGGGTGGGTGAGTGGGTGGGTGGGTTAGTGAGTGAGTGGGTGAGTGGATGGGTGGGTGGGTTAGTGAGTGGGTGAGTGGGTCGGTGAGTGGGTGGGTGGGTGGGTGAGTGGGTGGGTGGGTTAGTGAGTGGGTGAGTGGGTGGGTTAGTGAGTGGATGAGTGGCTGAATGCGTGGGTGGGAGAGTGGGTGGGTTAGTGAGTAGGTGAGTGGGTGGGTGGGTGGGTTAGTGAGTGGGTGAGTGGGTGGGTTAGTGAGTGGATGAGTGGCTGAATGCGTGGGTGGGAGAGTGGGTGGGTTAGTGAGTAGGTGAGTGGGTGGGTGGGTGGGTTAGTGAGTGAGTGGGTGAGTGGATGGGTGGGTGGGTTAGTGAGTGGGTGAGTAGGTGGATGAGTGGGTAGGTGAGTGGGTAGGTGAGTGGGTGGGTTAGTGAGTGAGTGGGTGGGTGAGTGGGTGGGTGAGTGGGTGGGTGTGTTGTTGTGACCTGCCGTGCGGTGGCTGAGCACGGTACAGGAGGAGAGTTGACGCACAGCGCTGGACAACATAGGCGGCTTTTGTGTACTGGATACTCTCCAGGTGCCCGTCAAAAAACGCCAGCTCTCGACACCAGAGTACCGATTGTACACCGTGTATAGGGTTGCATGTGTGTTTATTGTTTTGTGAATGTGTGTACTTTATCGTTGTTTTAGCTCTGCTGGCACAACCAGTATACACAGACATACGATTCAAGGCGTGTGCTCAGGAACTGTGAAGAAATGTAATTGCCCAAATCAGTGATATTACGTTCCTAATTGTACTTTCTGGCAGTTTCGCAAACACATGACATCAATCATAGATGTATACACCCACACACACAACGTATATCATCACTGCTCTCAATCTGCGTTTGCATTAAGTTATCTGCATTGCGGCACCATTCCCAATGAGCCGCATTCTCTCCCTTCACATGCCAAGATCTCATTCTGATGTTCCCTTGTTTGGCGCTCCATTGATGTGTTCTCCTGTGATGCTCTCTTCTTTGCTGCAGACGTCACCCCCCCCCCCCCCCCCCCCCCGAGTGTGAGATTGTTTTGCTCCCAGTCTCACTTCTCTTCCCATGTGCCACGGTGGCGAGATGTTAACTACATCGCCTGGTATATAGGAGGTCGTGGGTTCGATCCCGAGCCTGACACCTGCTGTATATTTGGAGTTTGCATGTCTCTCTCTCATCATCATCACGGTGGCTAGGAGATGTTAACTACATCGCCTGGTATACAGGAGGTCGTGGGTTCGATCCCGACCCTGACACCTGCTGCTGTATATTTGGAGTTTGCGTGTTTCTCTCCCCATGGTCACGTGGATTTTTTCCCCGGGTCCTCCGGCTTTTCCCTCCACATTTAGAATCAACATCACGCGTTTCGAGCATTTGACTTCTAAACATTTCCACATAAGACACTTCGTTGAGCTATCATTTGTAATCAGCTCAGTGGGCCGTACCTGGTAAAATAAAAAAAGAGTTAATGTTTGCGATCTCGTCTTCAGAATAATCGGTGTACTTAATCATTTGGGGATTTTTACAATTTTGCAATATATGGGCCACGAGCAGCTATGTTTGAGATCCATGCACCGTGTCAGACTCTCTGCTTCGATTCACAGACCTGCTCGCTGTGTGCACAATGGTGAGTGGGTCTTCATGACAAAATATTTTTATCTAAAAGCACTTTCTGTTCGATTTAAAGCTTTCGTGACTGCAGGGATTCATCTTCTTGGTTCATTCGGTAAAGTCACGTAGAAGGAAAATGATAAAATAATACAAATAAAACATAATAAAAAAAATTCTCACGACGTTTCGGCCACAACACAAGCAGCCGTCCTCAGGTGAAGAAACAGAACTGTCGGAAAGACAGCGCTCCAGTGAACACTGCTAAGCTTGGCAGCGTATTTAAGCCTGGTGGGAGGATCTCAAGGTTATGTGGAATCCCTCCCCATAGAAGCGGTTAAATTTCGATTTAAAGCTTTCGTGACTTTACCGAAAGAACCAAGAAGCTGATGTTCACTGGAGCGCTGTCTTTCCGACAGTTCTGTTTCTTCACCTGAGGACGGCTGCTTGTGTTGTGGCCGAAACGTCGTGATAATTTTATTTTATTAGGTTTTATTTTTATTATTTTATTATTTCCCTTCTACGTGACTTTACCGAAAGAACCAAGAAGATGAGCACTTTTCTTAATTGAGTTTCCGAATGCAATCAATGTTGCTCCGAGCCATCTGTAACACGTAAACACGAGTGCATGAGTAACACAATCAATAAGCAGGCAAGACGCGCACTTATTTTAAGGTGTTTTTTTCTGTTTCTTGAATCGTTTGTTTTGGGGTTGGTCTGTCTGATTGCTGTGAGCCTGTGTGTGTGTGTTTGTGTGCTGTGTGGGGAGCGGTAACGTAGCGATTAACACGCTGCGTTACGAACCCAGCAACCCGAGTTCGATTCCTGCTCACGGCCAACACTAGTGACGATTATCTATACCGGTCCTGGGCTTCCCCTAGGTCGACTCAGCCTCAACTGAGTACCTGGTGTGGTGTGTAAACATCGCTACTGGGTAGACAAAGGCGGTCGGGCTTGGTGCTGGCCACTCACCTGGTCGTTTGCCGTGCCGGTCTTCATAGGTGCTCGCTAACAGCACTTGCCCCAACAGTCTGTTCAGGCCGGCACGTCACAAAGCGTGGGTAGCGAACACCACGCCCGACCGCCTTTATCTCCCTAGTGGCGATGTTTAACCCACCGCACCAGGCAGTGCCGGATTCAGCTATTGCGGGGCCTGTAACATATGTTAAAAAGGGGCCCTAAATAAAAAGAAAACACATACATATTAAAAGACAAATTTTCAACTTGCATAGTAAAGTAATTGTATTTTTTCATTTGCTATACGACCAGATAATACGACAAATCGCTAACCTTAAACATCCAGTCGTTCATAAAAGTTAAAGGCAGTATAGTACTATAGTAATAGAGAAAGTGCATAATCACTGTACCGGAATTGATAGCTTGAAAGCCCTTGAAAGTGCGGGGCCCGTAGCTACTACATTTGTAGCTACTTTTGCTAACAGGATACTCCGGCACTGGCGCTAGGTACTCATTTGAGGCTGAGCGAACCTCGGTGGAGGCCCAGGACCGGTTCACACAATCGTCACCGGTTGTTGGCCGTGAACGGGAATCTAACTCGGGTCGCCCGGGTTCAACGAGAAGACAACGCAACACGCGGCGCGTGCGGGGAGCGTCCGTGCAAAGCCGGGCCTGACTTATCGACGCACTCCACTTTTATTCCGTGCTCCGGGCCCTTCTCGACCGCCACCCCCCACGTGCTTCTCCGCCAATCAGAGGCGTTCGCTAAGACGGACAGCCAATGGGCGCGAGCGGACGACACGGCCGATGGGAGCTGCTCCAGCTCCGCGCGCGATGCTGCGGGGAGCGGTAGTGTAGCGGTTAGCGCTACGCTGCGCTACCAACCTGGCGACCCGGGTTCGATTCCCACTCACGGGCCACACCGGTGACGATTATCTGAACCGATCCTTGGCCTCCTTTAGGTCGACTCAGCCTCAAATGAATGAGTACCTGGTGCGGTGTGGAAACATCGCCACTGGGGAGACAAATGCGGCCAGGAGTGGTGCTGGCCACCCACCCCCTCGTGTGGCGTGCCGGCCTTCATAGGTGCTACTCGCTAACAGCACTTGCCCCATCAGTGTGTTAAGGCTATACGGGCATCTTTGTCATTGTCTCTGTGAGTAGCAATAACTAACGCGTGGGCAACGTTTCCTCCGATGGCTGTGGGCCAAGCATGCTGAGTGCAGCACAGCCACTGCTGCGACTCCCTAACAGGCTGCTCCTTGCCCACTTTGCCGAACCCCGGACAGACGACGGCTCGATCGTTCACCAACATCTGCAGTCGAGCGCTCTGCTCACCCCCCGCCTCCTCCTCCTCCCCATCTCCGCCGGGCCCCACCCGCCATGGGCAACACGAGTGGCGAGCGGCAAGCGACGCGTGCAGAGAGTGGAGGCGGTCCCCCCTTGTCCACCGGTACAACAACTCCGCGGCGGCTTGGTCGATCTCTGAATGAGCCGCACTCGCCGGACAAGCAGCCCGGGCCGATCTGGGAGGGGAGGGGGGGCTGCGTTTGACTCTCACTCTCTCACTCTCTCGATTCCCTCTCGCGCGCATTGTTTTGCAAGGTCGTCGTTATTGATGTCACTGCTCTTTCACGCAGAAAAGCTTCAGCGAGTCTCAAGACTGTATATTTTTCACGAGGATCTTGCAACACGTGTTTTTTTAGCGGTAGGGGACGATGATTGCCATTTGTTTGCCAATGGAGTGATATGCGGTGTAAAGTTAAAATCGTGGCAAAATCTGGACCACGCTGCCCAGGGCACGGTCTTCTACTCACCTTCGAATGACGTCGCGGGATCTTTAACGTCCGCTGCGCATCATTCTGCGTGCGCGAAGTGGTACCATTATCATCATTGTGGTTATTGCACAGTATTATCCGTATTCACCAGAGGGCAGCCTTCCGGATTCAAAACGCGAAACTCTGCAACAAGCTGCCGGCCCAGACCTCGCTCTGACTCATTCCCCGTGGGAGCTGCTGTCACGACCGACAATCGCGGATGCTGCTGCCGCTCGTCTCCTGCAATCTGCCCGGCCCCATACGGTCGGTCAGGGCAGAACATTAGAAAACACATATCTGGCCTTCGTCTGGCTACAAAACCACGCTCTGTGATGTTTCCCGTAACAATTTGTGCTTCACAATCACCGGTCCTTGAGATGTAATTGAAGAGTAGCCCTCGTACCTTGCATCTATCTGTTCACAAAAGGAGACCTGCGGTTGAATAATTTCAGAACGCTCGCTGTTCGCGTGTCGTCGTGACGAGGATATACGCACACCACACAAATGAGCATTGAGGCATTGGTGTTCACCTCCCGTTAACAGTCAGTGGTCGAAATTCCACATTCCTTTGACTCGGATAAGGCTCCCCATGGAACAACCACTGCTAATTTCCCCCACAAGGTGGTATTCCTTGTATCGACCCCTCGAGGGATGATGAGCTGAGTCCACCACGAGCGAGGATTTCATCTCGTGACGTTCCCACTGAGAGCCGCTCGCTCGCTCTACCGCCGAGCCACGTGGCCTGAGCAACACGATGGGGGGGAGGGGTGGACGCGATTGCTGCGTCTTGTTAACAACAGGGCCGTGAGGATATAAACCCTGACGTGGTGTCCGCGTTGTGCGGGAGCTTCGAGTTCCGCACGCGTGAGGGGGGGGAGACGGCCGCGTGGCCACCCGAGCCCTCCCCGCCCTCGCTGTCTTCCGCCGAGCGGGCTGTTTCTGCCGCGGAGCCCTCCGTGTTCGGTCTTCAATCGGGGGGGGCAGATGGGAACCGCTCCCCTTCGCACCCCTCGCTTCTGCGATTGCGCGCCATGCCGCGTGAATTCCGTGGACCGCGCGAGCACCTCCGGGGAGCCAGCCGGGTGTTTTTTGTTCCTTGAGAAGTTTTGTTGTCGCTGTTTGTTTGTGGTTCGCCCCTCTCGGCCGCCAGTGCGGGCGAGTGAAATGTGCCTGTATCGCTGCGGCGGTAATGCGGGGGGCGGGGGGAGTCGCTCCGTCTTGCTGCTGCGCCGCTCGTCGAATGCCCGCCCCCCCCCCCCGTCAGCTCGCATCAGCGGCACGCGTGGCCCGCGTGGCCCGCGCGAGCGGCTTCCCCCCGGGGGTGCCGGGGTCGAGGCTGGGGCCCCCGCCTTGCCCCTGCCCCGGCCGTGAGCGCAGCGGTGCCGCTCGCCTGTGGCCGGGGCGCCCCACCCATGGAGACTCCGCGCATTGGCAGCGCGGAAACACACGCACGAAGACGGCGTCGCAAGTAGTCGCTGTATGTGCGTGTTATTTATTTCTCCGCTACCTCCGGAGAAATAAATAGGTGCTACTCGCTAACAGCGCTTGCCCCAACAGTCTGTTAAGGCTACACAGGGGATGTCAGTCTTTGCTGCTTGTTTACCCAGGAGGCTCAAGACTCTTCTTCAGGAGGGTCCTGCCAAGTTGTTTTCTTGTCTTCACAGTAGATGGCAATGTTGCGATGTGTTATCCCAATGTTAGTAATTTGTAGGTACATGTTCTTCATTGGGATGTTTGGCCAATACCAATTATGTTGGACGTTTTGTTTAATTATTAGAAAAACCCGCAAACTCCGAAGGAATCACATTTAGGACAGGGGGAGATTCATGCGAAATCAATCATAATCATTAACCCACACACTGCAGAACACGGGGGAGAACATACAAGCTGCACACAGAAAGGCGACCGTGTTGGGAATCGAACCTAGGGCGTCATCGTGAGGCCACGAGTGTTACCACTGCGCTGCCACCCCTACTGCCTAACGTCCTCGTCATCAGCATATATATTTTTTAAAATATAAACTGCGAGCATTATTTTAATTATGTAGTTACGCGCGTGTGCCACTTTTCACCGTTGCGCTCCAAAGTTGACAAGTGCAGAGAGACGCGGCGGCGACTGCTGCTGGGAGGGGAGGGAGGGGAGGCAGTGAGGGAGAGAGGGGCGGGGGGCAGGGAGGGAGGGGAGAGGAGGAGGGAGGAGAGGAGGGAGGGGAGGCAGTGAGGGAGAGAGGGGCGGGGGGCAGGGAGGGAGGGGAGAGGAGGAGGGAGGAGAGGAGGGAGGGGAGGCAGGGAGGGAGAGAGGGGTGGGGAGGGAGGCAGGGAGGGGAGAGGAGGAGGGAGGGGAGGAGGGAGGGGAGGGAGGCAGAGAGGGGAGGAGGGGAGGGAGGCAGGGAGGGAGGGGAGAGGAGGAGGGAGGAGAGGAGGGAGGGGAGGGAGGCAGGGAGGGGAGGAGGGGAGGGAGGCAGGGGAGGATGCGCCAGGTGTGGCGCAACTTTGCGGCGGAGCGTCAGGGGAGGGCCCCCCCCCCCCCCCGCGTGCTGGGCGAGGGCCGTGCCGACACGGAGGCGGGGCTCGCGCGCGAGCTGTGAAGAAGGCTGCCTGCCGTCGTGTGAACGTGACGATGGCATCGGCTCTTCACTCGACACTCGCGGTTTTAAGAAGAGGCAAGGACTGCCGTCGAGTAGGCGAATTATCTGCTGATGTGGCCTGCAGGAGGCTCGTGCTCAGATATCGATCGACAATCGGGCACGTGAGCGGTTGTCAGCCACACGGCTGTCGCGTCATAGTTCATTGTGACGTCCCTCCAACTCGCGCGTAAGCCGCTTGCATTTGCAGACTACGCAAAAGACAAATATCCCCCGTATAGCCTTAAACGGGCCTATTTATTTGTCCAGGCATACACTGGCAAATCGACATTTATATTTTTGTCGAATTGGCTCCTAACTTTTTGGCCATTCCACCACTTCTCCTGTGAAGGTTTCTCCAAAATACGGCGAAATGTTGGGATTGTGGTCTGAGGTATGGAGATTGAACGGATTAATGTATTTGTATATTTTTTCTCTGTAATTATTTTTTCTTAATCTTGGTTCTTTTGGTAAAGTCACGTAAATGGAAAACCAAAAAAAATGATAAAATAAAATAAAAATAATCCAAATAAAATTTTAATAGCAAAAAAATTGCAAAAAAACCTCCACGCCGTTTCGATCGAAACACAAGCGGTCTCCATCAGGCGGAA